CTACCCGCAGCGCTTCCCGGCCACCAAAAAAGGATGTCGGATGGTGACGTTTGGACCCATGTTCTTCTTCTTCCTGCTGACCTGGACCTTATGGATCGAACGCAAAAACCGTACGCGTCCAAGCAGCCTTGACAAATAGACCCGGAGGGCGACACACCACTGTCCTCGCAAATGCCGCCAACGTATCGGCGCCAATCATTGCTCCATCGCTGAACAAAGCCTGTGGTTGCATCGTCGGTCTCTTTCACCATCATTTTGCTGATGCCAAAGCTGCGGTCTCCAAGGCCAAGGCAGCCAAATCCCCCGTGCGGGGCCAAGTGAGGCACGTACTTTGCGGCAACTCCCTGACTTGTCACCAAAGTAGATGTAGAGTTGTTCGCATGAGCTGCTACGGTAGCACCTGCAGGCTCAGGTGCATTTCTGGACGTGGCAGCCACTACCCTTGCTTCTGCTCTTTCCTCCTGATTAAAAGACTTGGCCCGTTCAGAAAATGCATCTCGCAACTCCTGGTCAGAATGCCACCTTCGTCGGCACTCTGCCATTACTCGCTTGCGACAGCCCTCCGCAGACTCTCCAGGAAGCGGAACCCTTTGCTCCATCATGTGTGTCCAGTACAGGCTGTACCCATTGTACACCTTCAATTTGCCTCGACTGCTGGTCTGACGTTCCTAGTCAAAGTGAAAGGGGGGGTTTGCTTCGACCTTCGTACGTACAATGGGCCTTGAATCAGGCCCGACGAAACGCGCGAACCCAAACTCCAAGAGCCGTAAAAAGAAAACACCCAAAACCCCGAAAACCCGAAAAAGCTCAAAACCCCAAATAAGAAGCCAAAACCCCAAAAAGACCCAAAACCCTAAAAAGCCAAAAGCCCTAAACCCGAAGCCCTCTCAACCCTGAACCCCAAAAAGGCCCCTAAGATACGTTTTGGGGCCCCGTATAGAAGACGGCACCCTCATTCGAAAAATGGACCCCTCAACCCTAAACCCCTAAACCCCTAAATCTCTGAACCCCTAAGCCCCTAAACCCTTAACCCCTTAACCCCTTAACCCCTAAACCCTAAGCCCTAAACCCCTTAGACCCCTAAACCTCAAAACCCAAAACCCCAAACTCTAACCCCCTAAACCCTAAACCCCAAACCCTAAACCCTCAACCCCTAAAACCCTCAACCCTTAAACCCTAAACCCTAAACGCTAAACCCCTAAACCCTAAACCCCCAAACCCTTAAACCCCTAAACCCCTAAACCCCTAAACCCCTAAACCCCCAAACCCCCAAACCCCTAAACCCTAAACCCTAAACCCCTAAAACCGTGAACCCCTAAACCCCTGAACCCCTAAACCCCTAAACCCCTAACCCCTCAACCCCCAAACCCCCCAAACCCCAAAACCCCAAACCCTAAACCCTAAACCCTAAACCCTAAACCCTAAACCCCTTAAAAACCCGAATGTAGAGAACCCCCCCCCCCCCCCTAACGTCCGGCTTGCACCCGGGGCTCGTCACGGCGGCCACCGACAAAGCCTGACCCCAAGAGTTCCCTACTTCGAAGGCTCCTGGTTTTAAGGGTGTAGGGTTGAGGGTTTAGGGTTTAGGGTTTAGGGTTTCGGGTTTAGGGTTTAGGGTTTAGGGTTTAGGGTTTAGGGTTTAGGGTTTAGGGTTTAGGGTTTAGGGTTTAGAGTTTCGGGTTCCAGGGCTTAGGGAGAACACAATAAAGAGGAGGTTCCAGAACACCGCTACTGGATGAACCATGGGGAACCTTCTCCTGGCCCCCCTAGCATCCCCCCCCCCTCCCCCCGCCCTGGCGCCTTTCGGGCCTTTTGGCCCCCTCCTAGCCCCCTAACTCACCTGGCCCCAACTATTGAAGTGTTGAAGTGTTTTTCATGGTGGAAATTGAGGGCGGCAGCTCTCAACCCTAAAAGGCAACGGTTTGGGTGGGTGGCCTGTGAAAGCTCACGGCGGGGGGGGGAGAAAGAAACCTAGCACCAATGTTGCACTGCATTGGAAATATGCGCCTTCGCGTGACACCTAACACCCTGGGTGTGTCGGGGCGCCATTTCCACATGGTGCTTGCTGCCGCTGCGCGGCAAGACACCCTGAACCTCAAACACTAAATCCTGAACCCTAAACCCTGAACCTTTACGCTTTAGGGCTTAGGGTTTCGGATTTAGGGTTTAGGGTTTAGGGTTTAGGGCCACAAGACTAGTTAGTTGGAAGCTGCATGGGGCACCTACTAGTGCTGCACGAGAAGCCATGCTAAGTCTAGACCCAGAAGCCCAAACCAAAGGGCAGTTGTCTAAATTAGGGTCCCCTTTTTGGGGGGTCCTTTCTACAAGGGTGCCGTATTCTATAGACCCAAAATGGTACCAACAGTTTAGAGAACTTCCCAGGAACCCCTAAACCTTAAGCCCTAAGCCCAACAGCCTCAACCACACAGCTGCTAATCTACTATTGCTTAAAAACCCACAAAAAAGTTAGACAAATAATAAATAAATAATATTATTAATAATGATAATAATAATAATAATAATAATCTTATGTTGCCCTTATAAGGAAGAATGTGTTTGTTTGTTCCTTTTTGGGGGGGGGGTTCTTGAGCACTTCGCAGTTACGAGTTCATGGTTGGGATAGTACTCAAAACTTGAATTTCTATTCCTTATTGAGTTTAAGTACCCTTAAAAATGAAAAATGTTACCCCACGATGACAAAGAAACCCCTCACATAACTTAAATTAGGCTTGATTATCCCTAAAAAGCCTTAATTTTGGGGGAACCCTAAGGCCTAAGAACCCTTGAATTCGAATAGCCGCCATAGCCCCTAAACCCTAAACCCGAAACCCTAAACCCTAAATCCTAAACCCTAAACCCTAAACCCCGTTTTGCTGGTCGGCCTGAACTTGCTCCCTGGTGAGGGCAAACCTCAGGTGGCAGCCAGGAGCAGTGCCCTAAACCCTAACCCTAAACCCTAAACCCTAAACCCTAAACCCTAAACCCTAAACCCTAAACCCTAAACCGAAGCTTCGGGCTTAGGGTTTGCTGCGAGGAGAGAACACTAGCAATACCAATCAAAGACCCAAAGCCCCTACAGTTCAACTGTTTTAAAAGAGTTTTTGTTGGGAATGTGGGGCGCGTGAAATGCTGGACAGAATCAAGAAGAAAATGAGTCCAGCGAACACATACTTGTTAACCCGCAATGACGTTACTACATATAAAAACTACTGAGCAACAAGCGAAGTAGTGAGGTTAATTTGCAAGGATTGATCAGAGTGAATGGCACGCGAAACTAACTTGTGAATGAACGAAATGTGCGGTCTTTTTCTGAACCCTGAGCCTAAACCCTAAGCCCCAAACCCCTAAACCCCAACCCATAAACCCTAAACCCTAAGCCCTAAACCCTAGAGACCTACAACCCTTCCCGCACCCTCAAACCCTGAAGCTGCACTATTGAGCCCTTACTTGGAGGTCCATGCGTCCTTAGAAGTAGGGGCATGAGCAGGGTTATAAGTAGGGCTATAAGTAGGGCTACAAGGTAGGGTAACAAGTGGGGCTAGAAGTAGGCTTCCACATTCCCTTCATCCCAAACGCAGCATCTCATAGGAGGTTCATGGCCTTTAGGAATTGGGTGCTAGATCCGGGGTTTAGAGTTTAGGGTTTAGGGTATAAGGTATAGGGTTTAGGGTTTAGGGTTTAGGGTTTAGGGTTTAGGGTTTTGGGTTTAGGGTTTAGGGTTTAGGGTTTATTGGTCGGGCGACCCTGGGGTCCTCCAACACAATGACGTCGATGAGTTGTAGGGAAGGAATGAAGTTTAGGGTTTAGGGTGGAGGCTTTATGGTGTAGGGTTTAGGTTTCAGGGCTTAGTGGGATGTCTGTACTTTTCCTCCCTGACTCCCTTGCTAAGCAACAGTCGGGTTCAGGGTCCAGGGCTAGACTGAGCTGCTGCTGGGGAACTTGGACTAAGTTGCACTAAGTGTGTAACACATGCATACATTTACATATGAACGCGTACTATGCAATAAGGAGACTGACCATGATAACGGTAATGATGATGTTCATACTGATACTGCTGATGACAAGGGTAATAAGAAAGACAATCATACCAATGGTAAGATTGGTAAGAATGATAAGAACGATAACACTCCTTGAAAGGATAGCACTCATGAAAATGAGAATTAAGAAACAATGTCAACAATGAACGCAGAATTAAATACTAAACACCAAGAACATGCAATAAGCATACACATGCGTATGCATACACGCATACAGATACAGAGAGAGAGAGAGAGAAAGAGAACGAGAACGAGAACGAGACAGAGAAAGAGAAAAAGAGAAAGAGAAAGATAAAGAGAAAGAGAAAGAGAAAGAGAAAGAGAAAGAGAAAGAGAAAGAGAAAGAGAGAGAGCGAGAGAGTGTGTTTGTGTGTGCGCGAGAGTGTGCATGTGCGCGCGTGTCAGCATGTGAAAGGACCCTGATGCCCATGCTCCTGCTTGGGGGCTTCCCAGAAATGTCTTCGCTAAATTGACCGCTCAACCCTGCCCTGTAAGCCCAGGATCCATGGCCCAGGCGCCCCAAAATGTGCTAGTTTACGATGTAAGTGCTGTCGGGTTTAGGGCTCAGGGGTTAAGGCTTGACTTGGGGGGCTTTTAGATCACGGAACACTGCCAAGCCCCGCGCTCGTCATAAATCAGGCGGTGGAGGCGATTTCGGATGCCTGCGCGTCAGCCGTTTAGGTTTCGGGATAGACTTACGGGATTTAGGGGGTGCACGCCGAACCCCCTTTTAACCCACTAAGCCCTGATGAACACCGAAACCCTAAACGACGCATCCTGGATCGCTGATGAACCTCGAGACCCTGCACCCCCAAAACCCTCAGCTTCCGGCCCTTAACCATCCTTAACCCTCATCTTCTCAAAACCATCTTAAGGGTTTAGCGTCTTAGGGTCTTAGGGTTCCCCTTATACAAACAGCCCTTAACTTGGGGTATAATGGGGGGGGTACTATAAACCCTATTAAGGGCCCCTAAACCCTAAACCCTAAACCCTAAACCCTAAACCCTAAAAGAGTATAAGGGGGAACATCCCAAGGTTGAGGAACTTCCCGAGGCCCTTACACCTCATCTTGCCAAGACCGTAAGTAAGGGTTTAGGGTTTAGGGTTTAGGGTTTAGGGTTTAGGGTTTAGGGTTTAGGGTTTAGGGTTTAGGGTTTAGGGTTTAGGGTTTAGGGTTTAGGGTTTAGGGTTTAGGGTTTAGGGTTTAGGGTTTAGGGTTTAGGGTTTAGAGGTTAGGGTTTAGGGTTTAGGGTTTAGGGTTTAGGGTTTAGGGTTTAGGGTTTAGGGTTTAGGGTTTAGGGTTTAGGGTTTAGGGTTTAGGGTTTAGGGTTTAGGGTTTAGGGTTTAGGGTTTAGGCTTTAGGGTTTAGGGTTTAGGGTTTAGGGCGATAGGGCTTTAGGGCGATAGGGCTTTGGGGTTTTCAGGGGTTTTTTAGGGGTTTAGGGTGTTTTTTAGGGCTTTTCTTTAAGGTTTTTTTGGGGGTTTTGGGGCTTTTAGGGTTTTAGGGTGTTGGGGAGTTGGGGTTAAGGTTTTGGGATTCGAAATTTTGGGGTTTAGGGACTAAG